TGAGAACAGGGCTGGAGATATAGCTCAGTGGTAGTGTGTTTGCCTAGCATGCATGAGGCCCTGGGTTCAATACCTGGCCTTGAAGAAGATATATATAGATATATAGAGAGATATAGATATAGATATAGATATATAGAGAGAGAATATAACTAAAATGCTCGAATTTAAAGTACTTTAACTTATGGAATAAGGAATGTCTTGGGTACATTGGGTAAGTCAAGTCTGTCTGTCTCTCTGCCCCCCCATTGTTTTTCTTTTAAATTCCCTTCATTTATTAAAAAACACCAACATTCTATGAAATGCAATACTGAATATCTGAGTTATCATTTTTGAGTTACTGCTTTTTATTTCTCTTAAATTTATATTTACTTTAATGTTTAAATAATAATTTCCAGTATGCTTTTGCTTTCTGTTTTAACACATAGAATTAAAATAAATTCAGGGACTGGGGGTGTCACTCAGTGGCAAAGCACATGCTTAGCATGCACAAGGCCCTGGGTTCAATCCTCAGCACTGCCTCCCCCCAAAAAGAAAGAAGAGAGAAAAGAGTAAAATAAATAAGTTTAGGGACTGGGGATTTAGCTCTAGTGGTTCTGCTGCCCGCCTCGAAAGCCCAAGGTCCTGAGTTCGATCCCCCAGTACTGCAAAATAAATAAATTAAGTTAAATTAAATAAATAAGTTTAAAAACGGGCCAGGGATTTAGCTCAGTGGCACCACACCTGCCTGACAAGTGCAAGGTCCCGAGTTCAATTCTCAGTACCAAAAATAAAAATAAAAAGATAGTTCCCTCTCTGCTTACTGGGTAAGGGTTCAGAGTGCCAAACACGCTAAGGATGCCTCATTCCCAGGGACTTGGCTCTTGTTGTCCTCTGTATGGGCTGCTCTGTCCCCAGCAGCCATCTGGTGCACTCCCCCTCTTCCCTCAGGTCTCTGCTCCAAAGCCACCCAGGGCTTCCCTCCCCTGCTCACCCAGGATAAACAAGAGCCTCCCTCACTATTCTCCATCTCTTTACACAGCTGCACTTTTTTCTCCACTGGACTACCATTTGCCATGGTACACACACACACACACACACACACACACACACAGGACCAACCCTCCATACCTGGGTTCTATATGGGTGGATTCACCCAACCATGGATGAAAATGGGAAAAAACAAACAAACTCAGAAAGTTCCAAAAAAGCAAAACTTGAATTTGTCTCGTATCAGGCACTACAGTGAATCTCAACAAATGAAGTGATGTGCAAGTATATCCTGTGCCTGTGTAGCCTCCCATCATTTATTTCCAAGCTCCTCAGTCTTCCCCGAACCGCGTTGTTTTGAGCACAATTCCCCTCGCATCTCCTTTTTGTACCATGTAGTTAGGCCTAGGACATGCACACACTTTCTCTTCTTGTCATCATTCCCTATACAATACAGCATAATAGCTATTTACATAGTATGCACATTGTACTAAGTAGTATAAGTGATGTAGCAGAGATGATTTCATCTGGGGGCATGACATAGGTTATATGCAAATACAACACCATCTCACATAAGGGCATCAGTAGGCATCAGTGAGCACTGGTATCTAAGGATCTCCCAAGGACACTGAGGGATGACTATGTATGGTATATATTTATTTCTCAAGTTGATATGCTCTCCTTAAAACATAAGCTTTTTGAGGATTTTATTTCACCCACTGCTGTATCCCTAGCATCCAGGTCAGTGGAAACCCAGCTTACTTCTGAATTCCACAAATACAAATTTGTTGATTAAATATTATTATTTTTTTCAAAAGCACTTGCCTATAATTTACTGGGAAGAAAAAATTTAATTCAAATGCTCTGCTCTTGCTTAAATTAAAACATTAAATCACTGTTGGACTACATCTTAGAATGGTTTCTTTTTTAGGTGACATTTAATGTCACACAGCACTTACAGAGTGAAAAGAACACTGGAATTCAAAGGCCAGAAAGCCCAGGTCTGGTCATTGCTCTACCACAAGCATCAATGCTATACCCACCAGTCATAAACTCTCCGCATCTCAGATAACTTCTCTCTAAAATGCTTTCTAAAATGCTATAACATTTTGTAACTCTATTGTAGTCTTATGAATCAAGGTTACCACATAAATTATTCAAACTAATTTCAGTCTCATCCCTCGTAATCCAAAATTGTTAGCTGAAGGACCCTATATAATTATAGCCATTTGCTGTAATGCCAGCTACTGAGAAGACTGAGGCAGGAGGATTGCAAGTTAAAGGCCAGCCTGAGCAATTTCCTGAGACCCTGTCTAAATCAATCAATCAATCAATCAGTCAGTCAGTCAATAGGGTTGGGAATGCAGCTCAGTGCAAATCTCTGGTTCAATCCCCAGTACAATGGGGAGGAAAAAGCCATTATTCATCCAGATGTCCACTGGAAGGACAGGCTTGAAAGGGTGTACTTTGTAGAGGCGGTAGCATTTGAAAAGTGAACTTTAAAAAAAAGATAAACTTCTAACCTTCTTCTAATAAGAAGAAATAGTTGCTAGGAAGGAAATAAAAGTACCTGTTTATTACTCCACCAATAGCAATTTATGAAATTTAAAATAATTACAAATACAGGACTAGGGATGTAGCTCAGTGGGAGAGGATGTGGTCAGCAAGCCCCTGGGTCTGATAACCTGCATCACTAAAAACAAAAAATTACAAATACAAATCTCATTCATGCATGGCAACAGAAAAGTATTATGATTAGGAGCAGATGTACTTGAGATGAACAGAACTAGGTTAATTTCGAAGCTATGTGCTCTGTGCCACCCATACCCGTTTTGTACTTTACTTCCCTCATCTGGGCAATGGGTACAAGGTATACAATTATTACAATGAGTAACAACATTTAGTTCTGAGGGTCTTTTGGGAATTCCTTAATACCAAATACATAGGATTTATTTGATATTATCATTAAACAATCAAATGGAAATATATCCACACAAACAAATCTAACAACCACAAAAACATTCTTAGATACCTATTTCTCCAGATACTGTGCAGCCTGCATAACATGGAAAGAAATAAAAAAGTGCAAAGGGGCCAGGGATTTAGCTCAGTGGTTTCCCCGCGTGCTGCGCAAGCGCAAAGACCCGAGTTCGATCCCCAGTACCAAAAAAAAAAAAAAAAAGTGCAAAAGTTCTTCACTACTGCCAGTCATAAATGTTACACATATTAGTTTCTGAGATGTTAGACCATAAATGTTTAAAAAAATTCTTTTAACCTACCAAGCCATAGAATTTTTCTTCTAAAATCATTCTTCAGGGGCAGGGGATTTAGCTCAATGGTTCCGGCACCTGCCTCACAAGCGGAAGGTCCCGAGTTCGATCCCCGGTACCAAAAAAAATAAAATAAAATAATTCTTCAGTGGAAATGGCTGACACATTCACTCAATACCATACAGAGTAAACATTTTAGGAAATCCAACTTCATACCTCAAGAATTTTAACTAATCCCCAAAATAAATAAATTACAGATACTTATCGATGTATATATTATATATTTTTTAACATTTTTGGTTTCTTGAACTTAAATTAGTCTCCAAGGAACAAAGAGAATCCACCTCCCACCTCCAGCAGAGCCAATTTAATTAAAAGAGCCCACCATCTCAGCGTAATACCCTTTGAGTTTTCAGCAGATAAGACACTCAGACACACCTTGCTTTTTATAGACTAGGCCCAAATGAGCCATAATAAAATTCCGATTCCATGTTAGGAATTCCCTACCAATTTTAGACCTTCTCGGCTTTGGCGGGCAGAATGTAAAAGAAGTCAATTAAAGAGTTCAAAACGGAAATGCTGAAGCAACCTCAAAACCAGACACAAAAATACATTGGAACGTATTCGCATCTCAAGCACGTCCAACTCTCTCAGCCAACGCGATCCAATCAATGTCGTTTCCAGAAACACACGGTAATGGGTTTTAATCTATTTCTGTAAATGTTCCTTGTGCTGAAAGGCAAAGCGCACTGAAAACCGCAAAACACAAAAGATGCCTCGCGTTCTGTTTATAGCCAGAGACAGGCCATCCTCTCTGCGCCCTACCCCAGGGAGTCCTCCTTGCGACAATAAGAATTTCATGACACCCGATGCTACCTCCACTCCAAAATGTCATCCCCCAAATTGGAGGGGGCGCAGTGTCAGCACCCGCAGCCTCAGGAAACGACTGCCAGTCTTCTCACCTCTGGGAAAACGTGAAAACGAGCGAAGTCGGGGGGAAAGTTCCCATCCACCGAGCGTATCTGGTTTCCTTCTGCCCCCAGCCCCAGCAGCACAACTGCTGAGATCTGTTGCACCTGCCACAGCTCCCGAGCCTGCGACCCAAGGGACACGGGGTAACGCACAAAAAGGCCCTGCGGCCTAAGGCGCCGGCTTCGGCGGGGAACACACGGAGGGCCACGGTGGCATCCCTGTCGTCCACACCGCCCGCTTCCCTGACAAAGGCCCCGTGCCCGTCGGAGCCAAGACGCACAGAAGTTGCTGGGTCTCCCATCGAGAACTGGCACTGCCACTGCACCCTCTTCCAAACACACACACACACACACACACACACACACACACACAATCCACGCAGGACGGGGAAAGGAAGAAGGGGGAGGGTTGCAACGTTAGAATAAAAATGTCCCCAAGGCTGAGCAACCTGGGTGTGCCCTGGAAGTGAGTCCAGGGGGCGCGAGGGGAAGGGGAGACGGCGCCTCCCTCGGGCACCAGAGCCCGTGCTGGATGAAGAGCTCACGAAACGCCGGGGTCCGAAGGATCAAAATGAAACCGCAGATGAATCCCCGGCGAGGGGGCAAGCGGGCGGGCGCGAGGCCCGAGGAGGCGCGGGGGCTGCAGACCGCAGGCCCTACCTGCGGGCCCCGAGCCTACTCGCACCTGCGGGCACCATGGCGAGGCCGGGCCCGGCGCGGCCAGGGAGTGGACCCGCACCCCGGGGCGGGGGTCGGGGTGGGCCGGGCCGATGGCGGCCGCCGCCGCGCTCACCTCCAGGTCGGTGTCGGCGGCCTCTGGGGCCCCGAGGATCTCGCTGGGCAGCTCGGCCAGGTCGGTGACCCGAATGAGCCCGTCGTGCAGGAAGATGGTCTCCTCCTTCACCGAGAGCCACTGGGCAGAATCCGCGGCCGCCGCTGCCGCCGCCGCGGCCGCCGAGGAGCCCATGGCCCCGGCTGAGGGCTCGGAGCTGAAGAGCGGATGCCCTGCCCCGGACGCCGGCGGGAGCCGTGCGTTCACCAGCCCATGGCAGCGCCCCGCCGGTCGCCTCGCCCGCGCAGCTCCGCTCTAAGCCATCTGCGGAGCCGTCATCCTCCCAACTCGGCCCCGGAGACCCCCGCTGCAGACGCCGCCGCCGCCCTGAGGAGCTAGATCCGCCTCTGCTGCTCAGGAACCAACTGTCAGTGAAACGCCATGTTGGGGGCGGGGCTCCCGGCATGCCCTGCGGAGCGGACAATACCGGCCCCGCCCACCGCCGGCCCTCCTACCGCCCCGCAGACTCGGCGCCCGGGCTGCAGAACTCAAGCCCGGCGCCGCTATGTTGAGACTGCCCTGCGGCTGACCTCCCCAGCCCCTTCTTCCTTTGGCCGCTCGAGGTCACCCAGGTCTGCGGCGCACCAGGAGAAGAGGACGTCGCCTGCCCTTCCTTCTTTACTCGGGCGTGCACCCCTCGCTCCGGCCAGAGCCCCCACGCTGGGCCCAGTAGCCAGGTTCACGCCCTGCTTGTTGGTTTAAATGAGATGCAAGCAAAAATCTAATGCAGGGTTGGGGTGTAGCTCTGAGGTAGCGCGCTCGCCTACAAGCGCGAGGCCCTCGTCGCGCTCTGCGGGGGAAAAAAATTTGGCGCAGAATAGGAGTTGCACACTTGTCGTTAAGCACTTGGTAGAAGCGCAAAGAAGGTGTTTAAAATTTACTGAAAAGTCCAGTATGGATAAGCCACTCAACCTGGACAAGCCTGGGGGGGGGGGGCGCACGCCTGCTATCCCAGCTGCCCTAGAGGCTGAGGCAGGAGGATCGCAAGTTCGAGGCCAGCCTGGGGAATTTAGGGAGCTCTTATCTCAAAAAATAGAAAATAAAAGAAGCTGGGAGTATATCTCAGAGGTGGAGCGTACTTGGGTTCGCTCCCACTACCACAAAAAACCAAAACCAAACCGGTAAAAAAAAAAGCACCTATTGCCAATGTTTGCAGCCCAGTACCTAACAAGTATTTCCTGAGTCATAGTAACTATTGTTATATTCCAAATATTTAACCTTCACGTGCACCTTTTTTTTGGTACCGGGGATCAAACTCAGGTCCTTGGCTTACGAGGCAGGCGGTGGAACCACTAAGCTAAATCCCCGGCCCCACATGCACCTTTAAAATATGGACACCAGCTGGGCCTAGTGGCACATACCTGTAATCCCAGCATTCTAGGAGGCTGAGGCAGAGCAATTGCAAATTGAGCCCAGCCCTAAACAACACAGCAGCATACCAAGACCCACCCTCAAATAATTTTCTAAATAAGTTATTTAAAAGGGCTGGAGATGTGGCTCAGTGTGAAGGCCCTGGGTTCAATCCCAAGTACCACAAACATACTCACATACACACACTCCCATTTTTGTAAAAATAAAAAGGAACTATAGATGTAGAGAAAAATGTGTGGGAAAGTGTATACCAGATTGTTTGAGCTGCTCTGGGGGGCTGGGGCTGAAATGGTGGAGGCAAAATTTTTCTCTCTATATGACATTTATAATCTCACTCTTAACAAAAAGCAGACTACTGGGGCGCAGACCTACCAAGTCAACTTTGAGAACACTGGAGGGAATAAACAGCCCATGGTCAGGGGTATGTGTACAGGAATGTGGAGTTCAGTGTTGGTTCTTTTTTTGTAGAGACAGGGTTTCCCTATGTAGTTCAGGCTGCCCTCACACTTGTGGCAATCTTCCTGCTTCAGCCTCCCAAGTGCTGGGATTACAGGCGTGCACCACCACACCGGGCTCAATATTGTTTCTTTTTTTCTTCTTTTTTTTTTTTTTTTTTAGCAAAACCTTTATTGGTATGTTTTAGATATACATAATGATAACAATCATCATAGAGAATTTGCACCTGTACATGATATAGCATGCCTCATCTTTTTTTCCCATCCTTCCCCCCCCCAGTATTGCTTCTAAGAGAAAACATTACAATCATTCTATTTTATTTTATTTTATTTTATTTTTATTTATTTATTTTTGGTACCGGGGATCGAACTTGGGACCTTGTGCTTGTGAGCCAGGCGCCGGAACCACTGAGCTAAATCCCCGGCCCTACAATCATTCTAAATGTCCAACAATATGGGACTGGTTCACTGAAATAGTACGTCCCTAAAATGGACTATTTGAAGCCATTCAAAATAATGTTTATGAAGAATATTAATACAAGTGAATGTTCATGATATATTGCTAAATGAAAAAAATCAAGCTAAAATAGTAAATTTCAAATTTAATTTAGTAAAGGACTTTTTTTTTTGGTACCGGGATCAAACTCAGGACCTTGCGCTGATGAGGCAGGTGTCAAAACCACTGAGCTAAATCCTGGGCCCTTCAAATTTAATTTAAAAGCCAGCCATGGAGCACACACCTGTGTTGCACTGGGGAGGCTGAGGCAGGAAGATCTTTTCAGGTCACAAGTTATAGTCCAGACTGGACAATATAGTAAGACCTCATCTCAATAAAACAAAAATAAATAAAATTTAATTTTAAATATATAATGATAATCTTTATAGGATGACTGCAGTTTTTTTTTTGAGACAGGGTCTCGATATGTAGTTCAGTCTGGCTCTGAACTCAATATGTAGTTCAGTCTGCCTCTGAACTCAATATGTAGCCCAGGCTGGCCTCAAACTTGTGGCATGATCCTCCTGCCTCAGCCTCCCGAGTGCTGGGATTATAGGCATGCGCCACCACACCTGGCATGACTGCATCTTTTAAAATCACATGCATGTATGAATATGGCTATAGAACAGTGCTCCAAGGCATTCAGATAAGTCTAAAGGGTATGCTTAAAGGTGATTCAGGGGTTGTGGTCCATACTTTGGAAAGTTTCTCAAGTTTTCTTCCTAGAGCATGGCAAAAACCCACTTTGTTGAGTTTTTATTTTTATCAGTGCATGTTCACAGTGCATAATGATCGCATTCCTTGTGGGGAGTTGGTGCATGTGCATCACACATCTCAATTCTTTCCCACATCCCCTCCCTCTCCCCTCCCAAATCCCCTCCTCTATCTCTTGGTCCCCTTCCCTCTTGCAAAAGATCTATTTCCCTTTTTCCTATTACCTATCTTTTATCTTGCTCTTTATTTATACTTTGGGTTTCTCATATAAGAGAACCTACACAATATTTAAGTCTGTGTGTTGGACTTATTGCACTTAACATTAGGTCTCAAGGTGCATCCACTTTCCTACAAATAACTTGAGTATATCCTTCTTTATGGCAGAGTAATATTCCATTATATATAAATATCGCATTTTCTTTACCCATTCATTTGTTGATGGGCAGATAGGCTGCTTCTAAGATTTAGCCATTATAAGCTGTGCTGCTATAAACATAGGTAGCATGTGTCACTGTAATATAATATCTTTCATTTTTTCAGGAAGATACCTAAAAGAGGAACAGCTAGGTCAAATAAAATTTCTATTTCTAGTTTTTTGAGGAATCTCCATACTCTTCTGCATCATGGTTGTCCTAGTTTACACTTCCACAAAAAATGGAGAAGGGTTCTTTTTTCCCTGCAGCCCAACCTGCATTTGTTATTATTTGATATTATGATGATGGCCATTCCAGAGGAAAATGGAATTTGCATTTCTCTAATGGCCAGAGATCTTGAACATTTTTTCATGTTATTTAGGGAACATAGACTGCTTTTGAAAGAAAGTAAAAATTTTTTAAATTTAAAAATCTATTTAGCTGGGCCGGGGATTTAGCTCAGTGGTTTCTCTGCCTGCTGCACAAGCGCAAGGACCCGAGTTCAATCCCCAGTACCAAACAAACAAAAAATCTATTTAGTATGTAGGCATCACTTGTATATAATACCCTTCAGAGCAATCACTGATAGCCTCATTTTATCAAGAATGAAGTTGCAGAATTAAGTGACTTGTTCCTGGCTAGCATGTAGCAGAACTGAGGTTTGAACCCATAGCAGATTCCATCCTGCACTGTCTCCCTCCCAAATAAATAATTTTTTTACAGTACTGAGGATTGAACAAAGGGCCTTTGCACTGAACTACATACCAGACCTCTTTGTAAACATATTTTATTTTGAGACAAGATCTTGCTAAGTTGCCTAGATTGGGCTCAAACTTGGTGATCCTCCTGCCTCAGCCTCCCAGAGTTCCAAATCACTCATATGTTACATTGTTATTATCATCTCCTGCTTACAGTTATTAATTTAATTTTTATTATTTTCATTCCACAGGCACTTGTAAAGCCCCTAGCAGGTGTAAATCCATGGAGCTGTTTAAAATAGAGATAACCAGGCCAGGGATTTAGCTCAGTGGTTCTGCCGCCTGCATTGCAAGGTCCCAAATTTGATCCCCAGTACCAAAAAATAATAATAATGCTAATAAAATAGAGACAACCAGATATTATCTGAGTATCTAAAGGACTGTGTAAAAAATTCATTCCCTTTTTTCAAAGAGCTGGAAAGTTCTTCAAATATATGTGGAAAACATCCTGAAAGAACGTGGCTATTTTTGTCTTCTTTATTCCACAAGGATTTCTTGATCCCTGCTGTATGGCTTTGGTCTTGGCATGGGGTTATTAGGATGAGCCAGGTAGGAAAGTTGTCTCTTCGGAGTCTACAACCTGATGGAGGAAAGAGACCAGAATCAAAGAAGTTCAGCAGTTCACTGCAGTTTGGTTCCATGAAGATGATAAAACAGGCAAATAAATGTGTAGGAACAGGGGCTGGGGTGATGCTCTAGGGTAGGGCACCTCTTAGTATGCTCGAAGCCCTGGGTTCAATTCCAGAAATAAGGGCCGGGGATTTAGTTCAGTGGTTCTGCCGCCTGCCTCAAAAGCACAAGGACCTGAGTTCAATCCCCGGTACCAAAAAACCCCCCCAAATATATTTTCCAATTCCAGCAACAACAATAAGACGACAATTGTATCAAATCTTCACAACAATTGTCTGAGACAGGCAGTATTTTTATTCCTAATTTCTGCTGGAAAATCAAGGCTCAGTTAGACCTACTCACTGTCACAAACCCAATAAACATCAAAGATCCGATGTGAACCCAGGTCTGCCTGATTCCATAACCCCAGCTTCCTTATTTGTGCTGCCTGGAATCCCATTCATTCCCTTTGCTTACAATTCCAAACTTCTGTCAAACACCCATTGTAACTGGAAAAGGCTTGGGTTTTAAACACTAGCCACCTTGAAGTAGTTTCAGAGAGTATTTCTTGTGCTCTTCATTTTTATATTTCAAGATCAAGGAGT